GTAAAGGAAATCTGCCAGGAGCTGGTGCTGAGCCAGGAGGCCCTGAAGGAGGTGTGCGACCGCCTGCAGGAGGAGATCAACAAGGGTCTCGGCAAGGAGTCCAACCCAGAGGCAACCATCAAATGTTTCCCAACGTATGTCAGAGAACTCCCCAATGGCAAGGGTAAGATTCAGTCTCCGTTTTTCTTCCTATTCCTCCTCCTCCCTTCCTCCCCTTCCTTCTTCTCCTCCTCTCCTTCTTCTCTCCTTCTTCTCCTCCTCCTCCTCTCTCCTCTCTCTCCTCCCTCCTCCTCCTCCTCCTCTCCTCCTCCTCCTCCTCCTTCTCTCCTTCTTTTCTCCTCCTCCTCCCCTCCCCCCTCCTCCCTCCCCTCCCCCCTCCCCCCTCCCCTCCTCCTCCCTCCTCCTCCTCCTCCTCCTTCATACCCTCCCCCTCTTCCTCTTTCTGTTTCTCTTATTCCTTGTCACATCCTCATCCCACTTACTATTTATTCTCATCCTCATTTTCCTTTTCCTCCTCATTCTCCTTCTCCTCTTTCACCTATTTCTGCTCCTGCTTCTCCACCTTCTCCTTTTCTTCTTTCCTCCCCTCCTCCCCTCCTCCTCCTCCCTCCTCTCCTCTCCTCCTCCTCCTCCTCACTCCTCCTCCTCCTCCTCTCCTCCTCCTCCTCCTCCTCTCCTCCTCTCCTCCTCACACTCCCTTATCCTTCTTCTCTTTTTCCTTCTCCTTTTTTTAACTCCATCCTCTATTGTTTATTCTCATCTTTTTTTTCTTTTATTTCTTCCTGCTTCTCCACCTTCTCTTTTTCTTCTTCTTTTCCTCCTCGCTCCCTCCTCCTCCTCCTCTCCTCCTCCTCCTCCTCCTCCTCCTCCTCCTCTCTTCTCCTCCTCCCTTCCTCCTCCTCCTTCCTCCTCCTCCTCCTCCTCTCTCCTCCTCCTCCTCCTCCCCTCCTCCTCCTCCTCCTCCTCTCCTCCTTCTCCACTCATCCACTTCCTTGTTCTCTTCTCTTCTTTTCCTTCTCCTTTTTTAATTCCATCCTCTATTGTTTATTCTTCATCTTTTTTAAATATTTTATTATTAGTAATATTAGCATAAGTATATTATTGTTACTATTGCTTACTTGTTATCACTATAATTATTTATTATCATTATCATCATCATTATTATTATAATAATAGTTAAAATGATGATGATGATGATTTATTATTATTATTATTATTATTATTATTATTATTATTATTATTTGATAAGCTTGCTGAAGATTCTAACAGTTTTGTAGTGATAATAAGGAGACATTCAGTCAGTTTTAATTGCAAGAGGCCTAACCCAGTGAATATTCATACATATGGATGTAAAGGAATGAATACATATCTTACAGTCTACAGAGATATGTGAATGCATATCTATCAGACAGATTGGTAGATAAATGTACATGGGGCCTCTCATGATTTTAACAAACCAGCTGTTTAAGAATAGATATAATGATAGTTGCATGGATGAAAATATATGTATTACTGAGAAGTTTCATCTGGACATGATAAGTTATAGATTGGTTATCAACAGAAGAAAAGAAATTGTATGAAACAATTTTGCTGTACTTTTTCATGTACATTATAAGTTTCCGATTATTATTTCTTTTTTCTGTTTTGTTTTGCTATTGCACAATTACCATAATTTTGATACCAATAGTAACAAGTAATACCAAGAATATATTATGTCTTTTATAAGCAGTGAAATAGATTGTAGGCTTTTCATTTATCAAAACACAGTCTTGCATCTCAACATTTCATTTTTTATTATGTAGTTGACTTTTCTTGGAATTTTTTGAAATATCATTTTACCTTTTCAGAATTTATTCAAGGAAAGAATACTGTGCCTTAATGATACCTCAAAATCTTGTTAAATTAATTTGTTACCTCATTCTCTCTCACTTGTACAGAAAAGGGAAGGTTCCTTGCCCTGGACTTGGGTGGCACCAACTTCCGCGTCCTGCTGATTGAGCTGGGTGATAAGTGTACGATGGAGAGCAGAATCTATGCTGTACCACAGCCTATTATGATTGGACCTGGTGATGGGGTAGGCATCATACTGTGGTAGAATAATAGGCATGGTTCTGAAAGTGGTATTATATCAAAACCCATACTGGATTCATTTTAGCTGGACTGATTGTTGGTGGTAGAACGATAACCTTAATTTTAAACTTCCAGCTGTTTGACCACATCGCTGAGTGTCTCGCAAGCTTCATCAAGGAACGGAACCTAGGTACTGAGCTCCTTCCCCTTGGTTTCACCTTCAGCTTCCCCTGCAAGCAAGAAGGGCTAACAAAGGCTAGATTAGCACGTTGGACCAAGGGATTCAAGTGCGAAGGAGTGGAAGGAAGAGATGTCGTTGAATTGCTCAAGAAAGCAATTGCAAAGAGAGGGGTGAGTACCCTTAAGAATGTTAGAATTGTTGCATGTATTGATTTTTATCCCTTTTGTACCTTGATCTACTCCTTTTTTTTTTTGTGATCTTGGTTGTATATGATAGATAGATACTGTATGAATTTAATTGTCTTTGTGATAATAACTTTAATTGTTGCATTTTGATGTCTACGTGCACTTATTATTGACTTGTTTATGAATTACAGGATGTCAAAATCAAGATTTGTGCTGTTCTGAATGACACTACAGGCACCCTCATGTCATGTGCCTGGAAGAATCATAACTGTCGAGTTGGTTTGATTGTTGGTGAGTTATGGTTGTTCAATGAATGTATGAATAGATGATGAAGAAATCTGGATTTTGAGCTGAAAACTGAGATATGCTTTGGAATTATTGTTTTTGGATAAGTTATGTGGTAGATATGAGGACATCTATGGCAGTTTATTTTTAGCATACATATTTCTTCACCTATTATCCTGTCCACATCAGAGGCATTTGTTTCTTGTTCTTCCTCCTCTGTCTCCTCTTACTAATCCTCCTCCTCTTCTGCCTCCATCTCCTTTTCCTTCTCCATATCCTCTTACTCCTTCTCTTCTTCCTCCTTTTATCCTCCTATCCTCCTCCTCTTTCTCCTCTTCCTCTTCCTCTTCCTCTTCCTTCTTGTTCTTCTCCTTCTCCTTCTCTTCCTCCCTACTAGTGTTCTAATTTTTGCTTTGCTACTTACAGGCACTGGCACAAATGCTTGCTACATGGAGAAGATAGAGAAGGTAGAACTATGGGACGGAGATTTGGAAGAACCACGCCAGGTAAAAACTCAAATCATTTTAATTCTAGAAGAAATATATGAATAAAGTTGGTAACAAAAAGTATTAACACAAATGGAATATGTTTTTACAAACACAAGGGTAAAACAGAATAGGGTAGATTACCAACTAGAAGAGAAAGTAAAATTAATACTCCCATTTGTATTTTATCAATTGTTCACAAAAGGATGATTCACATGAATTCTTGGGTGTAAGTATTTCAAAAAATGATTGTGTGTACATGTAGCATGTTGATTTATATTCTATTTGGTGGTTGAATGTTTAACCATACAGGAATAAGTGCATGTACTCATGGATACATATTTTTGAGTGCACTTTTTTGTTCATTCCAAAATGATATTGTGTTAAATATTTTAGTTTGCTTATTATGCCTTTTTGAGAAGAAAGTTTTTTTAATTGTATTTTTTACTCACAGGTGATAATCAACACTGAATGGGGTGCATTTGGAGACAATGGATGTTTAGACTTCGTCCGCACAGAATATGATAACACAATTGACAGAGAATCTTTGAACCCAGGAAAGCAACTGTAAGTATTATTTACAGTAGTATTATACTAGAGTTATTCTTTACATACATACAGAATAAAAGATTGTTATCAGTATCAATATAAATGACAATGTAATATGTTTCTCTTCCACAGGTTTGAGAAAATGATTAGTGGTATGTACATGGGAGAAGTTGCAAGGCAGGTTATCGTGCGGCTGGTGGCAGAGGGCCTGCTCTTCGATGGAAAATCTTCAGATATTTTGCAAGAGAAAGGTTCTTTCTTCACTAAATACATCTCAGAAATCGAAAGGTACTTTTATCTTCAGTTGAATATTATGAAAAAAAAAATCACCTAATATATTATCCATGAGTTCAGCAGTGCTTGTAGTATTGTATTAATCATCTCTTCCTGCATTCCAAGAAATCATAGAAGAATATTATTATTTCCATATCATTCACACTTCATGTACAAATTACCAAAGAAAAGGCACTGCATGTCAGTGGTGTGTAATAAAGAAAGATATATTTTTATCTTTTGCTTCATATAACAAATTGGTTTGCAAATATACTTATAGAGAGTTGAGGAGTTAGTTATTAGCAAGAGACAATGGCAGATATGTTTTATGCCTTCTGTTGTAACTTTGGGTTTATTTTATATCATCTTGATACATCATGCAAAAGATTTTAAAAACTTATTGAAGTGATAAAAATAGTGATAGAAATTGGTATTATAGGAAATCACGTAGGGACATTGTTGAACCTAACTTTGGGTACAGATACATAGGGAGAATATTTTTATGCTAGTCCTTAAAGTAAATATAGAAATTACTAAGACTATTGCCATATATTTTGATACTTTTACAGATTCGTAATAGTATTCAGTTTTCAAATCATATGTATTTGGACTGAAAATGTTTACAGCTATGCTTTTATCATTTTCCAGTGATGAAGATGGAGATTTCAACAATTGCTATGCTATTCTGGAGGAACTTGGTCTTAACAATGCCACTGATGCTGACTGTGCAAATGTCCGTCATGTGTGCGAATGCGTTTCTCGGCGAGCAGCATACTTAGCCGGAGCAGGTGTTGCTCTCCTCCTTAACCGTATCAATGAAGAAAGTGTATCTGTTGCTGTGGATGGATCTGTTTATCGTTTCCATCCACACTTCCACAACCTTATGGTGGAGCAGGTATCACAGCTCATTAAGCCTGGAATTAAGGTAAAGATTTCAGTAAATTTTGTTATTGATATTTTGACATTGATATTTTGACATCTGTGTAAAATCTATTTTAGATTTTTCTGCATTTCAAATTGGGAGAGCACAGGGATATTTGCAGTTAAAACCTAAATAGTCCCCATTAATTAAGTTGTGCTTGTAAGAGACATGCAGATAGTAAGAAGCTTTATCCATACAAGTAGGTTTTATCTGTAGAGCATTTAATAACTAATATATCTGATGAATGGAAACCAAATGATAATAATCTTTCTCTTCCAGTTTGACCTAATGTTGTCAGAGGACGGAAGTGGCCGTGGTGCAGCCTTAGTGGCAGCTGTAGCTTCCAGGACCTCAGCCATGAGATAGAGCGATGATCCTATTTCGTAACAGTGGAACAATAAATGTGAAAGTGTCTTCATATGTAGGAGATTTTTGTTGCACACAATGCATGTTTTTTATATAGTTCTTGACTGATGATATGAATACTAGTTAACATTGCAGGCATACAGTGTGCTAGTTTTGTGGTAAGTGGATAAGCTGAAGGGTAACGGATGTGGAAAGATGCTGCCATCTTCAGTATTTACAATCAGTTAGAAGGTTTATGGATGGAATGTAAGCTTAAACTTTTATTTTTCTCTACATTTTAGATACACACACACACACATATATCTATCTATATATATATATCTATATATATATATATATATATATATATATATATATATATATATATATATATATATATATATATATATATATATATATATATATATATGTATGTATATATGTGTGTGTGTGTGTGTGTGTGAGTGGGTGGGTGGGTGGTTGTATGTATGTGTGTATATATGTATGAATGAATGAATGAATGATTGTGTGTATGTACGAATATATGTATGTACACACACACAGACACTCATATATATATATATATATATATATATATATATATATATATATATATATATATATATATATATATGTTCGTATGTATGTATATGTGTGTGTGTGTGTGTGTACACACACACATACATACATACATATGTGTGTGTGTGTATGTGTGTATCTATGTATGTATAACCATGAATATGTATATTTTTATTTTTAGTATGTATCAGGATTATCATTTCACACTAAAAAACAATATTATATAAATGCATATATTATATATAGATAGTTTATTTAACTTCAAATACTATTTTAAGAGTTTGGTGATTATGATATGTTGATCTCCATCTCAAGTTGGTGTAAATTTTGAATGCGTTGGAAAGACAGGAGTTTCAGAACCACCACTGAGAAAAAGAAAAAAGAAATGAATTAATCAGTTGTTCACTGGCAGCATTACTGCTTTTTCTGTGAATTCATAAGGTGATATGCAGTAGTAGAGTCCTAAGATGTTTGGGATTTCTGTAAAACAAAAACGTTTTTTCATTCTTTCTTTCTTTTCTTATTGGTGTGCTTGTGGTATAATGATGCTTCTTGTTTTAATTCTGTTAATAATTCTACGTAATCACTCTTATTTTATTGATTAAACATTAAACAATTAGCGCAAGGGCCAGAAATATACAAAATGTTTTTAAAATTCCTAGCTTCATCAGTGTGGCCATAGGCAAGTTTGGATGTAATATTTAGGCTCTTACAAGAACTAAGATAACATGGTAAAGGCAGATGTTATTATTTCAAAGTTGTAGTTACTAGAAATTCTGGAAGAATGCTAATTGAATTGCACCTCAGTCTGATTTTTTATAAGTAATTTTGGGAAAAATTCTTCAAGTGTGATGTGCTTATTTATCAACACTGATAAAGTTCAATTGAAACTTTCAAAATGAATATAAATTGTTATGTGCTTAGGCATATTTATAAATGTAATATATAAATATATATATATATTTATATATATATATATATATATATATATATATATATATATATATATATATATATATGTATATGTATATGTATGTATGTATGTAATGTATATATTATCGATAATACCATGACAACAAAGGGAATGGAAAATACCTTTTGGTTTTTAAGATACAGGAAGCACTTTTACCATTTTTGTCCTGGATTTTTATTACAGCATGGATATTTAATGATTTTAATGGAGAAATTCAGTATAAATAGCTTTAAAAAGTCATCATAAAGATTTTAGGACTTCAACAACAAAAATAGTTGTCGTTTTTTCAGTCACGTTATCATTTGCATTGACATATCACAGTTCAACCTGGCCCTGGCTTATTTTACTTCAGACTTTATGAAGCATTTGTCTTCCTTGTGTCATTATACTCTGAAAAGGTTATCAAGTATTTTGAGAACATTATATTTGTCATGTAAATGGGGAACATCTGCCCAAGCAATTCACAAATGCTATTTTATCTTACATTTCATTGGAAGCTGTGATAGTTCTTAACATTATAGATGGAATTATAATAAAAGTGCTGCTGGTTATGAAGTACTTACACATTTGGTTTTCCTTTAGAAAAATATTTATTATTGATACAGGAAGTTTCCGTCAACAGATATATTTATGTATATTGAATATATTTTTAGAGAAACTTGTTATTTTTCACTCTGGATATTCATTCTGTTTTACCTCCAATATTTGTTTTTAAATTTACCCAGTAATTGCACTATACTTCCCCATATAACATGCTGTTGCTCAACAAACTGTGTACATTGCTATGTGTACTTTTATGAACAAATCCATAGCAAGGTTTGGGGAAGCTGAAATGAGGCAGGACCCACTCCCAGGGAAAATGACTTGGGGAGAATTTCAAGGTAAAGATCAAATAGGAATGTATGACATTCTACAAAGTATATCACATTCAAATGGTCTGAATATAAGGAGTGTTATGTATAAAGAATGAGGGAAGAAGAGAAGGTATGGAGTCAGCCAGTGACTACTCCTTCTTCTTGCCTCATGATCTGTGTGGACAGCTGGGAGCGTGTTGTTTCCTTTACTCTCTGTACATAGAAGATGAGGAGAATGAAAAGTTTGTGCAATGAATGGTTAAAATATTTATATTTTATATATATATAAAAGGTGTAATATTCTTTGCTCTTAACTCATTCTGTATCCAATTGCTTTCATTTTGTTCCAGTTGAATCTCATTCTCCATTCTTATGAAAACTTAATTTTGAAACATTTCATGTTACTTGGTTGTATAGTTTAATTTATTACTGAAATTTTCTTTCAGTGATTATAAAATAAAGATGAAATGCTTGCATGTGTTATTTATTTCAGTACATATCCACATTACTGATTAGAAAGTTTCCATAAACAAGTTCTATTTTCTCCAATTTCAACATTTATTTTCTGAATAATCATATGTGGGGGGAGGGGTGTTGTGGTACTGTTACTGTAAAGCTCTAAGGCCAAAAATTACTCATAGATGATTTGCCTATAAAATTCAGAACAAACTAAGAGCAGCAAATTTGAATTTTAAATCTCCATTTTAGAAGATGAAAAATTCTTTATCCTCAATTTATATCATGTCATTTTTCTTCTGAAAACACTACTTTGCAATTAAAGCCTTACATGCCTTATTATTTTTTGCTGGTCAGCTCTCCTGTAAAGGCTCACACCTTTAAGCATATATTAGAGTGGAACAAGAGAGAGAGACAGACATAAACATCATAGAATAAATTGTCATAGAAGATAAACACTTTTGGGTAAACATATTATATTATCAGATTTACACATGTCTTTAATTTTAATCAAGTGATACAAGTACATGTACATCTCTAAATTCCTTCCCAACACAAACCTGGGATTTATATATACAAAAACATATTCACAAAATAAGATAAGGCTATCTTCAAATCAGACAAAATTATCTATTGCATGATCATTATAATTTCATAAGAAATATAAAACTGCTTATAAATGTGCCCAAAAATGAAAAGTGAGAAATATATCCTAATGCAATTGTCTACTCCATTTTACCATGCTGTATGTTGAGGTTTTTCAGCATAGTAACACTATAAATTAGCTTTAAAAAATATTACTGTGCATGTAAAACTACTGATAATCAATGTCCATATCAAAGAAAGTTGAATAAAAAAATATAACCAGAATATTTAATTCCCAAGTTAAGGGAGCTACTAAAGCTATATTTTTATTTGAAGGCTTTGGATTTATATTTCTATGGAAACTAGATATTAGAAACAAAGTTATTCAGCAATATGTGCAGAAAAGATTTGTTCTATGATAAAGCATAGTACTTTGGAAAAAAACATTTTAGTTTCTGTGAAGTGAGTTCTCAGTATACAAGAACTCCGTCTATGGCTTCTATTACTCTAGTTTTAAAAACTTCATTACCTGCTAATAAAGAAGATAAATAAAAAGTTTTATTGAAATAATCCTTCCCCTGCTAATAATGTGTTGAGAAATGAAATTCATGGGACATTACTGAGATCAAATTCATCACCAATTAAAATAGGAAGAGACGGCTTATAAATGTTAGGTTGTCAACAGCAATTCACATTCACTTGTAGAAAATAAAAAAGGAACCTTATAAGCTATAAGATTCGGTATTCACATATAATACATATTCCTAATATGTCTTTGAACATTTTATGATCACAGCTGAGCATTATCAAGAAAAATCCATAATGCTAACATAAGCATTCCTTTATCTTATTACCATTTCTAGTTTTTTCTCCAACAATCCACATAGTAGGTCATAAAAGCCATATAGTATTATTTTCTGAATAAAATCATACATTTTACACATCAAAAATATCAAATATTATGTCTCATTGGATGTCTAACTTGAAAAGATAAAAAAAAAAAAAATCTTTTACACATTTATACTGAAAGGGTAAGGTATTTGTACCAAAAATGCATGTTTCATACAGTGTGTCCATTGTATTTACCTATTTTTTAATTTTAGTAAACAATACATCAATAAATAAATCAATCAATGTAAAACTAGATGACCAATAACTCATCTTTCCATTATCACTACCCTTCAACAACTGTATACTAGTCTTCACTCTTAAAAAATTAAAAATAAAAAAATAGCTTATTACAAAAAACAGCATTTAGAGCATGCAGATGGTTTACACAACTCAAACTGCTTATCTATGATGATCGATGAAGAGGCAGCTGATTAGCAAACACTAATTTCTTCGGGGTACTGTTACCTTCATCTCTTGTCTCACTTTCTCTGCAAAAATTAAGGGTTTTTTAACAATAACATCACTGAAAAAGAAATAATGTATTAACAAATAATGAATGACAGAAAACTACTGTCAAATATACACATGCATAGTAAAGCTACACTACAATGTGTTACAATTCTTTTCTTTACACTCAAAATACATTGCTTCAACATACAAATCTTAATACCTATACAATAAAAAAAATTACCGGTTGCTTACATGGAGTCATTTATCTGGATCTGTTCAGCCTTTTTACAAAGGGGAAGATCCAGAAGTTGGTTTGTAAGTTCTACGTTTCGAACTGACCCAAAGAACTCTGTTATTAGGACGTTGTTTGGATCCCTCTTGTACAGATCTCGCCGAACACCAACTGTAGAGATGCAGACTTGCTTTGGGCACACTTGCAGCTAGAAAAGGCATGAAAGATAAAAATCACATACATACACACACATAAACCTCAGAGATACACAATCAACTATATATAGATGATATAAGCACCAAAGCCAAACATAAAAACTATCATATGTATCTGATAACAGAGGACACTTTAAACCTGAAAACTGTATTCTCATTAACCAGTACACCTGATAATATTATACCAGGAATCACTGAAAAAAATTAACTGCCAAACAGTGCAATGCCTACTTTTTCACGAGTGAGTGGGGTATGATTTATCTATGATGAGGATACAACAAAATCAAAACAAATAAATCCAATACAAAGGGAGACAAGCTCAAGAAAGCTCATAATCCCAAGTATAAATCAATTGAAAAAAAGATACAAACATATGCAACCATAAAAAGAAACATAAATTCAACACATCATAATTTATAATTGATTACAAGTGTTTCTCTTACCAGTATTTATGTATCTACATTAATATCTGTATCATAGTTTTTTTTCACTTTTTTTTTTTTTGACACTTTTACAGTAGCATCAATAACAATGTTAACGTACACAAATTCAAAAAGATCTTATCATAAAAGCATTACAGCAAATCAACTTACAAACTGAGCCAATGTCTTCTTGCTGTCAGGGGTCACTTTCTCAAGGAACTCGAGGGCATAGTATGTGAAGCGATCTATTATGTAGACTCCTATAGCTGGGTCTACATGATGCTGGGGGTGTGACAAAACATTATTTTTATCATCTTTTATCAAAACATTACTTTTATAATATGCAAAGGTACAATAAAATATATATCTCAGTAATAAAAATCATCTTAGTATGAAGGATGAAAGATAATTAAGGCATAATTATACAGAAGCAAGTGGTGATTAATAAACATGTCAATGGATAGAAGAATAGAATTTGTTTTCATTTCACATATTAAAGTACAGTAAATGATATATCATAATACTTATGAACTTAATCTAAAACATCAACAAAATAAAAGGCATAATTATATTAGAGCAATTCATAACAGCTAGTCCCAGACAAGTATCTTTTTATCTCTTTTCTTATTTTTGTTTCTTCAAATATTTCTTTGTGAAATCTACACAGTGAGACGCTAGGGTAGCCATGCCAGGACTTTTGACATGATTGCCTTATCAAATCCAATGGCACCACTCACATTAATCCTCTTTACTACTCAAATATGAAGATACAATCAGGGCCTCTACTAAAAAATAGAAGCTTGTGCTAAATGAACCTCAAACCCCTTGGTAATACTTCATTTGTTAGTAATACTTCATCAGTAAGCAATAAAATTCCAAACACTTGATTGTAGTTTCAAGGGTGAGTTTGCTGCTCAGATTTTTTTCCTTTCGCCCTTGTCTATACTTTAATAATTCCTTTTATTATGATATGATCTAATTACATATACAGCCGATCCCTAATTCATTACGTAGTCTTATAATTTCCTTGTCTTTTTATCAAGATGTTTACATTTCATAATCATATATAAAAAAAAATTAGAGCTATTACCTTTCTAAATTTACTATTTTACTCCAATCCTTACATCTCACTACATACCAAGTTCACATTTAAAGTTACATCCAGCTAAAACTGTAAAAATGTATTCTGATGTTTTCTAGCCTTATCAACACTATAGCACTTTGTCTCCTCAATGGAATGCATGCAAATAAGTGGTATAAATTTGATCGTTATTAGCTCATTATGGTAGAAAAGTTCTGAATCAATGAGATCCACATAAGGTTTACCTGCTCATTTTGCTTATTATAATATGCAAAATAAATCGCATATCACTATTTGTAAGTCTGAAATTAGCTGAAGAAAAGAAAAAACATCAAGTTATGTGTGTCGTGATTACAAACTTTACTTGTCTTCTGAGATAAATTTCATTTCATTTCTAATCCATTGGATATTCCAATAACCTTGCAACATAGGGATAAGAACTGTTCATCCTGTTAAAACACATTTTT